TGCTTTAACCTGAAAGCGGATTAATAAAATTTTCCCTGACGAATTTTCGTAGCTTTACTCATTTCATCAATTTTAATAACCCAGTAGGATAATGGAAAATTTTAATTTCAAAGACGATTAAAATGCTATTTAAAATCCCAGTTTTTTTTTGTAATGTGGAAATACAAATAGGATAAAATATATTGCGGAGTATTCAAAAATTCCCTACTTTGATGGAAATTTTAAAGTAGTGTTTAAGAGATTTTATTTTATATTTGTGTTATGAATATGACTTTATGAAATCTAGAAAGTTCAATGTACACTTTTTAAATTAAAGCTAAAGAATTTTACAAAACATATGTATATAAAATTATCAGACGTTTTTCTCTCAAACCACAGTCGTACTACTTACATTCAATCCCTTAATAATATGAAAAATAGAAAGTGTGGATCCAATTAAAATCACGTCTAACATTATCAGTTACGATAACCACGTAGCATTTTTTTTATTTCCTGTTTTTTTTTATTTTGTGTATGTTTTGTTTTTCTTTTCTTTTTTTCCTTTTACTTGTTCTTAATATCTCTTATATAACTAGAAATTCCCTCTTTGGAAAATATCCTTCATCAGTGTAACAAGGAAAATAAATTTGTAAATAAATGAAAAAGAGTATATACCTGCATAGATGTGTGTTTTTAACTCATAATGTTTCTTTTTATAAAAATATTCTTCACAATGAATGTAGGAATGATACGTACCCATCGCATAAATATGAAAATATTAGGTATACGTTAGCTATGTTGAAAATTCTTTGAAAGGATGAAAAACACAAGATTTGCAATATTCAAGATTTACTTTTTATTCCACAAAAATTCATTTTATTTATTTTGCTTTTAGGTTTATATCAAATGAACTATAGGTTTTGCTTGAGATACAAAATTTTTTAACTTCATTCATTACACCACAACATTCTTATACATGTACCTACTGGCCTTATCCCGAGATTCTACACGGAACATTCTTCAATAACGAATGCGACATATACTCACAAAAAGCATTAGGTCAAAGAATTGCAAAAACGACAATGCAATTAAGATATTGGTGAAATGTGAACCCTTACCAATGAAAAATTTTTGGATCATTCTTACTCCAAACGGGAAACCAAATATTTGATTCAAAAGAAAAAATTTGCATTATTAATTTGCAGCCATTTAAATAAAGAAATGGCATTGTATGAACTGATTATTTTACAACCCACTATCGACACTTCGGGCTACAAATAGCTGATCTTTAAATATTTTCCTGTGCAAAATTGCCATCGCGAAAAATTTTTTTTTGTGCCGCGCGAGACCATATTTACCGAATTTTTAAAAGATATTGCTGTAGATTAATTCCCTTTAGGGGATCTAAGAGACCCGTAAAGCTAATGCTTTTTTTTCCCCTAAAAAAATGGAGAGCTATCTATGTCTCCTTTGGCTTCGATTCCAAACAAAAAAAGTTTATATTCAGAACTCCAAAAAATTGTTTATGTTGGAATTCTTGGAAACTTTCCTGAGTTATTTATTCTGAATGCCTTTTATTTCGGATCTCTAGTTCATTTGTTAAAACCAGTATATTTCATTCAGAGAAAATATCTCATATTTGAAAAATAATGTTAAACCTAGGTTAGTTTTGTTTCTTACTCACACAAATAGTAGAATAATTAAATTAAAAATTCCATTTCTATGCATCCGGTCAATAGAAGATGTTTAACAATTATATTTAAAATAGTTAACCTTAAACACATTCTGTGTACTTCCCGTTATTGCGACTTTAACATTTTTCTTTTTAATATTAAAATTATCAAATAGCAATAACAAATAATAATTATGATAAAATTTTTTTTGTATTTTGAAACCACTGATTTTTAAAAAACTGTTCTTTTTCCAAACCCCAATAATTTTATAACCAACTTCATTATAATTTTTTTGTTTTTTTGCTTTTAAATAAGTTTTTATGAATTTTATTCGAAAAAAGAATTTTTCCATTTTTATTTTCTTCATTATTGAAAAAAGAAAGGGAAGAAACTCCAGGAAAACAAAAACTGAAGAAAAGAGAAAATAAATATTTTTTACTGGTATTACTTACTGTTTAAATCACAGTTATGTTACTCGTATTTTCCTCTTTTTCATTTTGTTTTTAATTTTACTTCGGTTTTAGTTATTCTTTTCTTTTTGGTTGCTGGTGGTCTATATAGAAGAATCTGAAAAAAAAAGCAAATAAAAAAAAAATAAGATATACGACTATTCAGATTGAAAAAGGATTTTGAAATTTTTGTTTTAATACACGTAATAACTACTAGTTGAATCCTTTTCAAGAAGAGACACATAGAAGAGAGGTCAGCGGAAAATATGGTTTTATCAGACAGAATGTACACCATATATAGTTTTGTTACACAGCTTTTCTTTGTTTCTTGACTATTATGCTGTATGCATACATTTTTCAAATACATTTTTCCTTTAATATTAAGTGCTTTATAATTTTAAATTTATAATCTTCCATTCATACAAGTATCCTTATTTCAAATCTTTTTTTTTTTCTTTTAAGATTTTATTGAAACAAAAAAAATTAAATAAAATTGTTTTTTCTTTCTATTTTTCCTTAAATTACAATTTATTTGAGGTTTTACTGTACAAATTGATTCCATAAAAACAATTTTTGCATATAAGATTTAAATTTTACTTCAACATTCAATGCAATGCAAATTATGAATAATCTGTTGGCCTTTATCTAAACTCGAATTTCGTTCTAATAAATAATCACAATTCTCTAAAATTACATCTCAATCGCGTTGAGTACTAACATTCTCTTCATACTATTAGAATTCAGTTGTAATTCAATTTTGAATCACTGTTGGAGAATTAATTAAAACTTAATTTTATAATTCTTTCAAAATAATAATAAAATCATTAACGTAATATATAAAATTTAAAAATTCCTTAAAGGTTTTGTGCCAAAATAAAAAACAAACAAGTTGCCTGTGAGTAAAATGACAAAATCGCGTTTTCAAATTTTGAATTATTTTTAAGTTCTTTAATATAAGCCACACGAAATGTCTTTGTAATGCAATTATTATTTTTCATTTCAGTTGATATTAAAAGAAAGTCTATAAATATAATTTCGTGCTAATACTCTATTAAAAATTTTGCGGAAAATAATTATAAAACTATAAACAAAAACAAATTTTAGAATTTTTTAAAGAAAATTGAATTCATTTTCCTTCCTTTTTCACTTAAATGCAATCACAATTCTATTTTAAACATAACCCTTTAATTTATGTTTAAGTGAAATTTTAAGTTCGTATATTAAAATAAAAATGAATAAACATTACAAATATATAAAATACTGTTTTAAATTTTAACTTTTTTACCTTTACTCTTCCTTTAATTTTCCAAAAAAAAAAATCATTATTCTTTGTTTTTGTAAGTTCGAAAGGTACTGAAATTTTGAATAAGCAAATATGGTAATATTATAGCCATTATTTTAAATAAAATTTCTTTGAGATAATATGAGTGTATTTAGTAACTGCCATATATGTATGTATGTATAAAAGCATTGCAGATATAAAAATCCAGGAGAATGCATGAAGCAGTGTATAAAAATTAACTCCATCTATTATCGTTAATGCTATATTATAAGACTTAGATATACGTTTTTATGACGATTGATTATGTCATAAAAATTATGTATGATCAAGTTGTGAAAAATGATGTAGTGCATCGAACACAGAACTCAAGAATTAAATTTCAAGAAACTCCATCAATTAGTTTAGATATAATAAAAAATACGTAAAATCGGCCAATATATTATGTAGTTCGATTTCTGAGTTTTTTAACGTTTTTTTTTTTAATTTTTCAGTTCGGATCAATTTCTTATGTTTAAGCGGGCTTTACTTGAAGACAATTCTCACATTAGATACATTTACGTTATGAAAGTCTATTAATTGATAAAAATTTTGGAAACAATACTGACTTTGCTTCAATTTAAATTTGTAACTTGCTTCAAATTCAATAACCTTGAAGCTCATAATTATTCATAGCTGACAATTATTCACAGAATTTTTTCAATCTGATTTTATTTTAAGAGTTCGACTTCACTTCTCCAACAGGAACAATTTTTTTCCTAAAAAAAAAGGGATTATTAAGTTACTGAAAAATAAACTCGGGAAATTTTTAACCTTAAATTCTTTAAAAATCAATCAAGTCTATTAAAAACGTTAAGACTAGCAATTGTAAAATAATATTAAAGAACTATTAGATTGCAAATAATTATGTTTATAGCTGTGTTGTTTTCATACTTTTGTTGGGTGTACTGATACATTAACAATGAATTTCTAATTTAAATTTTGCAAAATATTTTAAAAATAAACGATATAGGTGTATTTCATATAGCAACAAAGTATGCATTTTCCTTTCAATTAAAAAAGATTATACATTTGAATACTGAATTCAAAAAAGTTTCTTTTACATTTTTAACGATTTTAGGTGTAAAATAGAAAAATGGTTTCCTGAATAAAAAAACTTTTTTTGCGTTTTTCTGTTTTTATATCAAAAGTTCCGTTTTATATACACATTTAAAGTTGTAGTAATAATAAACTAAATAACGGTTTCAAGGTGGGGCAATCAAATTCAAAACCATATATGATATTAAAAAAGATATAAATTAAAATTTATATCCTGCATGTCCTGCATATCCTGTTCTAAAATTTACTTTAAAACATATTACGTACATAAATATACATTGTATATACATATATGTTAGATGTATATATTTAACGACATCATATATGTAGATATAAATTTGATTCGTATTTAGCAATGACGTAATCTTGTAAAAGAATTACAAATCTTACTTTAACCAATATAGAAAATTTTTATTGATCAGAAATTTTTTTTGATTTAAAAATTATTTAAATTATATTTTTATTTGTAAAAGGTTATCTGCTTCTATAATTTAAGTAAAACCAATTTTTTTTTCTTTTCAGATATTCTCTATTAATAAAAATGCGAACTTTCGACAAAAATATCAAAATGACTTTTAAAAATTTTGGAAATTTAGATATTAATTCAAAAGTCGCCGTAATATAGGCCAAATAAATAACGCCAACAACTCGTTTCAAAAGACATGACGTTCTGGTGGTTACGAAATCACAGCTGTGTTAGCAGTCATCGAATAAGGAAATTCGAAATCAATAGCAATAGTTTACAACAATCAAATATTTTTCTAAACAATAAATTAAGAATAAGTGATTTTACATTAACATATATTAAAAAAAGAGCTGATTCGATAGCTAGTAGATGAATAAGAGGGATGCTTGAATTTATGTAGCGGTAAGTTGAATATTAATTTTTATCAAATTTTTTTTAATAAATTTTTTTTTTAATTAGTAACGGCCCTATGGTCGGCGAACGCGATAAAGACCGTGAAGCGGTGCGCTGGGAACTGGGCGATTCGACACTGCCCCAATTAAATAATGGAGGAGCACAACAAATGGTTGGATCAATATATGGTAGTGGTCAGCAACCAATACAACAACAACAGCAACAACAGCAACAACCACCACCACCACCACATCAACAAATATTACAATCACAACAAAACCAGTTGTCTGGATCAACAAATCCAGCAACATTACAACAACAGCAGCAACAAGCACAACTACAGCAACAGCAATTTTTACAACAGCTACAAAATCAAACTTCAAATTGGATTGAAAATGAAACATTGGGTGGAATACTTAATGAAAATTTACAAACACAACAACAACAACAAAACCAACAATATTATGATACCAGTGATATTAATTGGAATCGTAATACAAGTAGCGGAGGCGGTAGTAATATGGCATATGGAATTAGTGCTAGCGGTGGTGGTGCGATTACTGGAGGCGGTGTTAGTGGAATTACTGGTACGGGTACAACTAGTAAAGAAGTTAGATATGCTCCATTTCCAGTTACATCACCAACACATTCAAATCATGCAGCTTCCCAGGGAACAGTATTGCAACGGACACATTCCAGATCAATGTCCTCCATACCACCAGAACCATTTATGATAGCACGGTCAAAACAAATGAATCGTCGCGTTACTATTAATGTTGGTGGTGTTAAACATGAGGTATTATGGCGTACATTAGAACGTTTACCACATACACGTTTAGGTAGATTAAGAGAATGTACAACACATGAGGCTATATCAGAATTATGCGACGATTATTCTTTAGTTGACAACGAATATTTCTTTGATAGGCATCCAAAAAGTTTTAGTTCAATATTAAATTTTTATAGAACTGGTAAATTACATTTAGTTGATGAAATGTGCGTTCTTGCATTTAGTGATGATCTTGAGTATTGGGGCGTTGATGAATTATATTTGGAGGCATGCTGTCAACATAAATATCATCAGCGTAAAGAGCATGTACATGAAGAAATGCGTAAAGAAGCTGAGAGTTTACGTCAACGTGAAGAAGAGGAGTTCGGTGACGGTAAATGCGCACAGTATCAAAAATATTTATGGGAATTATTAGAAAAACCAAATACAAGTCTTGCGGCGAGGGTAAGAAGATTTTTTTTGCAATTAATTTTGAGAAAAAAAAACCAAAAAAAAATTTGTTTTTACTTAATAATTTTTTTTTTCAAATAATAAAACTTTTGAAGAAAACAGTTTTTCAGGTCAAAATTAAAGCAAATGTAAAAAAAGTAATATATTAAATGATTAATGTTTTTTTTTTTAATTGTTTTTTCTTTTTTTATTGTTTTTGTTGTGAAAATGTTGATGTTTTCTTAATTTTTCATACAAGCGGCCAATGTTTTTCATCAAAAAAAATTTCAAAATACTGAAATTACTTGATTTGTTTTCTCTTTTTAATTATTATTATATTTTTTTTCCTTTGTTCTTTAATAATCTATTACTTTAGAAAAACCTTGAAATTGAATTAAACAAAAAAACTAGTTATATACCGTTAAAAATAACAGGAAATTATTTTTAACGCTCCTTAATAAAAAAATATTATTGGAGGCACAATGCTTTTTAATTTTCAGTTTTAATTTATTGTAAGCAGCAAAAAAACTCTTTTCTAATAAGAGCCGGAAACAAAAATAATTTCAAATAAAGAAATTTATCTAATATTTTTTTTCTTAAATTTACATTTAAATGATTTTAATTACACCATAGTTCAATAAACCATGATCTCCATCTTGATCTCCATTAATAAACCATGATCTCCATTTTTTTTGAAGATCTTGGTCAAGAACTTCAAAAAAAATTATTAACTCAGCATGCACCTAAATACATAAGTTTTTAAATGTCATTAAATTTTTCTAAAATAATAATTAAAATAAATGCAGTAAAAAGATCGCAAGCAAATGCTGTTGCATAAGAACGACGTGCGTCATTATATTGAAATTTTATAGACTTAAATGATAATTTTATAATTTGGGAAATGTATACCGAAGAGTTTTAGAAGATAAATTACTTACTACTCAATAGAAATTTCGTATCATTATGTTAATCCTTTAAATAACTTCTTAAGATAATTTTAAAAAGATCAGATGTTTTGCTAGTGTATCTATCTACATACTGTGTATTATACTTATAGATAAGGTATAATATATATTACTTAATTTTTATGGTATCTTGAATATTACTCAGAAAAATATATGGTATGTGTTTTAACGGATTAAAGCTTAAAGGTTTTATTAATCAACATCTTATTTTAAATTTACTTTTTAAAGCTCAATTTTTTTTCTTTTTAATCAGCACATTTTTATATTAAAACTTAATAGTTAATTTAGAATAGTTTTTGATACCGATTCTTTGGTGTTTGTTACCATTTTCGAAATAAGTGAAAAGAGCAAAAAAACTAGTTAGTTTTTTTTATTTAAAGGAGTATTACAAATTAACATATATCTTAAATATATATCTGACACATAAGTGCAGGTTAAATAATAAAAAAATATACTTTTATTTATTATATAGGCAATCTTTTAATAATTAAAATCATTTAAATTGTAAATAAGACTTATGTAAATATTCTTGTAATATAAAATTATTATATAATTTTAATTTAAAAATTTCTTTTATACTCTTTAATTATATACTTGGAATAAAAACGCTAATGCAATATTTTTTGCATATAAATAAAATATAATATTCTTATATGATGTTTAAATGTAAAAAATGCAACAATTATAATTTAATTTAAATTCATATGTATACTCTAATGAATTTTACATGTTTCCATGTTACTCTATTTACTTTTTATATAATAGTCTTATATATATTCAATTTTAAATAATAAATTTTGTTGCAAAATAAAACCAAAGCTTAACGCTATGTACATATGAAAGCTACGTAATTTAATGTCAATTTTAATTCAAATTATTTAAACTCTAATTTTAATTTTGTTTTTTTGGTTTTCCTCGTCGTTATTTATTACGAGTGTACATATAATAAAATTTTTTTATAATATTTTAAAATATGATGCTTTTAAGATTTCAATATAAAAAAATAATTTAAATCTAAATTTAAAGGACAAAAATTTAGATTCGCTTTTGTAAATATAAGAAAAAAGACCTTATTTCCAAAAAGTTTTCTTTTCGAAAAAAACTTTATTTGCGTTACAATAAAAATTAATTTGAAATAAAACCTATTGATTATACTTTTAATATTTCGAAATTTATTGAGTTTAATTATTTTAATTTGCTTTTAATTTTTTTATATTCTAAAATTTTAATTTAAATAAACAATGAGCGATATTTTTTTTGTTATTTTGTATTAATTTTTTTTTAATATTTTCATATATAAAATATACACAAAATATCTACAAATATTTTTTTTTGAAAATCTTGATTTTCAATATTTAATTTTTTAATTTGAGGATTTCAACATATTTTTATTTAGTCATTTGAAGCGTTAAAACCATTAAAACCATATTGTTCTACAGTACAAAAGAAACACTTGAAAAAACTACATAACTTGATTGACTTAATCGTAAAATTATAAAATTATTTAACAAATTTTTCAATAAGATTTGAATTTCTATCAAATTCTAAGACTACAAATTTAAATTTATTGAAAACTTCAATGTCTTTTCGATTTATGAAAATAAAACGAAAAATTTAATAATATGCAATTTCGCTCATTTCAAGTTATGTGTTCTTTTTCTTTAAATTTTGTAAAACTTTAAGACTTTGGCTGAGATCAAACATATACATACACCGTCTTATATACACGAATACAAACAAATCCATTACAAAAAACAAAAACTTAATTTACATACTTACTAATAATATTTACAGCAAGTAAATGTTTAACAATCATTTTATAAATTATTAAAATACATTTGTAATAAAATTCATAATTTCAATTGATTATTTCTCTGTTTTTTTTTTTGAATCAGCGTCAAAAATATATAGTGATTTTTTAATTTTTTTCCTTCTCCACTCGGCTAACGCAATCCCGCATTCTTAGACATTCCGATATCTCTGAACCAATATGAGAAATTAATTGTAAATAAACTTACGTGTTATAAATTATGTTCAGTACTTTGACAAGCAGTCTTATATGTATTATTTTTGCAGTTTGTTTTATAGCTGCAACTGCATGTTAAAGTTTTTAAGATATATGCTCAGATATGAACTCAGTTTTGATTTTACGCCTTTTGTCGCCTTTACAGGATTTACTAGAATAAGTTTCTTTAAAATTTTCCTATTATTTCAACAAAAAATTTAAATTTATATTTCAGTGAAATAATAAAATATTTAATTTTGTGATTTCATTTTTGAAACTTTAAAAAACATACAATAATCTTAGACTTTTTGACTACTGAAAAAACTTTTTTTTATGCTAATGCAAAATTTTTAGTTTTTGCAGCTGAGTTTTCATTTTGTTAGAAATGCGATTCGTATCGCATTATCAAAAACACTCATAATTCTTTTTTGCCGATTTCCATAACAAAAATGACTCCCACGTTACCTTGTTTGAATCCCTTAATTTAAATTTGCTTAATTTTGAGTTCTTTTTTAAATTCATTGCTGGCATTTAACACGTTAACCGTGAACATTTGAGAGCCAATATTTTACTCCACCTTAGTGTGGATGGTATCCATTCGTACATAAAATCGAGTCAAACAAGGTGTTATTAAAACACCCTTCCATAAATAAGAAGGCACTAAACGCTGTTTATACATAATATTACAATCACTATATATTTGTAGAAATTTTTATTTTTATATACACTAATAACTTACTAATCTATACAATTTCTTTTTATGTTTCTCCTTTTTTTTGTTTGTTTGTTATTTATTGTGTTAAATCATAGAAACCACGTGTCTGTTTTGTATTTTATACTATTTTGTTTTTAGTTATTTTTATAATAATTTTTTTAAAGGTTGTATTATAGTTTAATTAATTATTTTATTATTTTTAATGTCAATTAATTAAATAAAAAAATATGGAATCTCATCTTGTACATTAAAAATGAATTTTTAAGCAAAAAGAAATTTATACATTTTTATTTTAATATGTTGTTTGGGTTAGCATAAAAAAATAAATAATGAGCAAAGTATTTGACACAATAACAAGTTTCCAATTTCGACGTTAAATAATAACTACCCAAAAACTGAAAAAATCAACAGGCTGAGTATTAAATAAACAAAAAATATTTTTTTGTACTTTTATTACCTCTATTTTTTTAATATTTACCATTATTAATAACAAAAATATAACTTTTTAGAACTTATTTTCTTTTTTTTTTGAAATCATTAAATACTTTATTTAGAATTTTAGAAATACATATTTATATAATATTTAAATATATATATAAATTAATAATTTTTTTTGTTTCTTCTCCATTTAAAAATAAATAAAAATATTTTTTACAAATTGTGATTTTTTTTACTAATAAATACTATTTTTTTTATATTTTTCTTTTTACATATGTATATTTGATGAAAGAAAATAATTAACTTTTTCTCTACGATTTGATCCAAAAACAAAAAAAATTAAAAAATGAAACGTATATAACGATAATCTGAAAAGTATCTATGAAATAAAGCATTTTTTTTATTTTAAAATAAAAAAAAAATTAATTGCTTTATATGAATATTAAACAAGAAAAACAACTCATGACTTTTGAAACAAAAAATAATTTTCATACTTTTTTTTTTGTTTCAAAAAAAAATTAAATAAAATTTGTTTTTTTTTTTTTTAATTGGTAATTAAATATTTGATTGATTTTATATATAATATATACTAACATTTTATAAAATTACTGTATAAATTGTTATAGATCCGAAATTAAAATGTTAAAAGTTTGAAAATCCAATAACCGCACTTTTTTATCAAAAAAAAAAATACCAAAATAAAACTTTTAACCAACATTTAAATTAATTAATTTAAATTTGCAAAATAAAAATCAAAGTTAGTATATTATTATTTTTGAAAAACAAAAACGTTAAAAATTAAAACAAGAATCCGTATACAAAACAAACAAACAAAAAACATAAATGAGAAAAGATGGGAATGGGTAATAAAGTGATATGACCAGACAGGCAG